GGCCCCCTCCACCCTCCCAGCATCCCCGCCGGCATCTCACCCCACCGATCCGCCGCCGCGTCGTACACCAACCCCTCCTTCGCGCTCACCATGTACAGCCGCCCCCTCCACCCGACCACCTCCACCGCGTCTCGGCTCAACTTCACGTCCCTCAGGTCCGCCACCCTCCGCCACGCCGCCGCCACCATCGGCGGCCGGCGGCCGAGGTCCCACCGCTCTGCAGACCGGGCGACGCCGCATGTGTAGCTCGCGCCCATCCCTCCGGCGACGTAGACGGCGCCGCCGACGGAGCCGGTGGCGCACCAGCGGCGGGGCGCGGGGATCCGCGGGCCGCAGCTCCAGGAGCTGGCGAGGGGATCGAAGACGAGTGGGCGGGGGAGGGCGGGGAGGAAGAGATCGTCGGTGGCGGCGAGGACGACGAGGGTCCCGGCGGCGGAGACGGACTGGACGGGCATGTCGCGGCAGATGAAGGTGGGGTGGCGGAAGAGGAAGCGCGGCGGGTCGGGGTCGGAGGGTGGCGGGGGGAGGAGGCACCAGCGGCGGGAGATGGGGTCGAAGGATAGGAATTCAATGGGGTCTGGGAAGGTGTCCGGCGGGACGGCGGCGGCGGAGGGAAAGGCGACGGCGTAGAGGGAGAGAAATGGAGGGAAGAATTGGGAGTAGATGAGGCGGCGCCACGAACGGCAGACGGAGTAGAGGACCGACGGCGGGACGAGGGAGAGGCATATCTGGGCTATGTGGTCGGGGAGACCAGGGAGCAAGGACTGGTGGTCGCCGCCGTGGTGAGTCAGCTTGACGGCGGTGGATGTGGCGGAGGGGAAATCAGATGAGATGGGATTTGTCATTTTAGGGATTTGGGGATCGGAGGGCATATGATGGGGGCTTATTTATTTGAGGAGATGAGCCCATTGGCTTGTTTCTACTTTTTCCTGTTCTTTTATATTTTAAATTCAATTTGTATTTATTTATTTAATAAAAGGTAAAAGTTGGATGGTAGTCGGCTAGTTGCCCCTTTGGTCTTGGTTAGTACTATCTGCCAGTGGGTTATATGGTCGTAACTTGTGTACTCTTTGAAAATGGACGCCAAGTTATAATAATTATTTTACGTACAAGAAGTTAATGAGCAGCTGCCTGTTTGCATCCAAAATCAGCCTTTTTGGATTTTATATATAGTTTAAATAAAATAAAAACACTGGCAGTGTTAATTAATATAAAATTTATAGACTTCACAAGATTCAATGAATTTAAAATTTTGTTTTCATATTTTAGGCCTTTTTTTTGTGTGTATGTGTGTGACCGTATCAAAGTGTGCATTTGAGCAAGTGGATCATTTATGGAACAGTCAAAGATGGATCATTGAACATATAACACTACTTTTTTCTTTATAAAACTATTTTCTTTAGGTAAGATTGAAAATAGACTAGTGCGTGGCTCGTGCGATGTACGGAAAAAAATATTATGATTGTATTATAAATTAAATATATAAATAATATTAATCATGATTTATCCATTATTTTTAAATTAAATCGGGTTGAACACAGTCCGACAGGATGGATCGAGAACCGGTTTATAACCAGTCTAGTTCGCTTGAATAAAATATTTGCTCTCGAATCCGTCAACACCAGTCGGTTGGACTGATAGGATCGATACAATTTTCTAAAAAAATTTTATTATTTTAAATAAAATTACATATTTAAATAAACTAGAGATTTATAAATTATTTATCAATTAGTTTAAACATTTGAATTTATAAATTGTTTAGATATCTAAGTAACACATTTTATTTAAATTTATTACAAAATATACTATATATATATATTAAAATGTTCATAAATTAAAATCTGAACAAACCAAAAATGATTTAATATAATAGCTTGATCGTTTCGATGATGGTCCAGTCAGAAAACCTTATATTTACTGTACATTAATAAATACTATAATAAAATATTATTTAATTCACATAAATATTAATAAAATGATATATAAATATTCATAAATCATTAAACATGTTGTCATAAAAGTATTGTTAATACGATTTTTTGAAGTTTGGACTACATCACATGCACGTAATAAAATATTTTCAATATAAAATTTATATTTAGGTTCAATAATGGATTTGGTGTGGTCGAACTGATACATAACTTAGTCACCTGGGATCAACTAAGTTGTGTCAAGTTTTTTGACTATTTTAAATATCACCTAAATGTAATTCAATCAACCTGGGCAGTACCCTAATTCAATCACCCGATTGATCCGAAGAAATTTTCTTTTTTTCTTTAAATATATTTAATTTTATGAAATAAAAATATTTCATGATTCATATAATATATGTCTACACCAAATGATAGTATATTAAGATTTTAAATTATATATCTAAAGATGACTTAATTAAACATAGTAATTTTTAAAAAATTAAGATTAATTGATTGATTATGCAATTTAAAGAATATTTTTAGCGTTCAATTTTTTTTAAGGCACAAATATAAAGACCGAGATTCAAAAACTTTTGTTATATTTTGAATTGAGATTTTATAAATATAGAGACCGAGATTTAATATTGTTTGTTGTTCTAAGAAAAAAATAAAAATAAAAACATACACACTTAATAAATCTTAGCCGGATTTTTTAAATAATAAAATGAACTAAAGCCCAAAATTTAAGGTAGCATTTAATGTTGTATGATTTTTAAAGAAAAAAATAAGAAAAATAATAAAACTTACTATTTATAGGTTGCATTAAATTATTGACCTATTTTTTTGCTACTATTTTTGGTAAATGTTAATTCTTATTATATATATATAGATTATTTTGCCCAAAAAGAAAATCCGATTAAATTTGGATGAGTAAAGTGAAAAGTTGATGTAAAACACACTAATATAAAAAATACTTTTTACACTGTTTTAGAAAGAGTATTGAATAAAATATAATAATAGAAGTTGATGTAATAGTAAATAAACTAAATACTGTGAATAAAAGTATCGGCAAAATAATAGTCATTTGTCTTTGAAATAGTAAAATAATAATTATAAACGGCAAAAAGATACGAGTGAATATATAAATGAATTAATAATGAAATTAATAATGAATTAATAATGTGAGTGGATATATAAATGAATTAATAATGAAATTTGTTTGGAATGTGAGATAATGATGACTTTTTCTAATTGTGTCGCTAAGATTTGAATGAACAAAGAAATAGATTAATATATATTTTTTTAAACTGTTCATATATAGTATCAATGAAAAAAACAGTACTCAACAGAATAAAAATGAAAGTTAATTGATAAATACGCAGCAATTTACACGTAGATAGTATCTTTCACAATACAATGGGGTAATTTAATTGAAAAAAAATTGTCAGAGTAATTATTAGCATTCAGATAATAAAATAAAAAACCAATGATGCTAAAA